GGGTTTTTTGGGTCTATGAACACAATGGTGGTGTCTGATTGGTCAAATAATATAAATTATGATTTTATGGATAATTAAATTCAAAAAATAATTAATATTTTAAAATTTAAATATTTTACATATTATTTAAGTATTTAAATAACTAAATATTTTAAATAAAAAATATTTAACATAACTATATTTTAAATAGTTAAAATAAAGAAATTATGTAAAAATTTTANTTAATATTTATTAATAATAATTTTAAACTCTTAATCTGTATTTATTATATAATTATATATACTAAAATTAATACTTATTTTGTTTTGTTGTTTAACAGAATTTTTTCAATAATTATTGGAGATTAAACTACTATTATTGAAAATTTTAAATTTAATTTGTTGTACTTGTTGTATTTATTGCATTTTAATAGGAATACCCAGTCGAGGTCAGGGTTGAGGTTGGGGATGGGGAATATTATCCCCACCTCATTGCCATTCCTACACACCTTATAATTTCACATATTTACTTAAGCCTACCTTATAGTTTTCATTTTACTAAAACATCCCATATATTTCACAACTTATTTACTTAATCAACTTTTCATTAACGAGTGCTTGTTTTGTCATTAGGCCCATGATTTTTTATTCCAAAAATACCTTTAACACTTTTTTTGTATAAAAAACAAAATTGAGCAAATATAGCCAATAGAGTGGTTGCCCGTGTCTTATTAAGGGCAAAAATGGTATTTTTATTTTTATTTTATTTTAATTAAATTTATTTAAATGAACATTAGGATCAACACTGTCACTTTCCACTGTCGTTTTCTCTTTTTTTTTTAATTTTTAATTTTCTTATTCCATGTCATTTTTTAAAGAACCAATGAGATGCACTTTCCTAATAACCTAAATAATCTCTTCTCCTGAAAATTATCCTAAACAACCTCCCCCACTTTCTCTAGAATTATCTCTAATTCCTATTTATCTCCAAAATTATCTCTAATTTAGTAGAGAGTTTCTCTCTTAAATTATCTCTAATTCCTATTTATCCTCTCCCCTACTTTTTATCTATATCTATCTAAAGAAAGTTTGGATAAAAAAAATTAAGAATTATTTAAATATTCTAACAAAATTATATAATAACTTTAAAATATTTATTAAAAACACAAAAGATAATTTTATATTTTTACAAAGTATATCACGAAATTATGTACTAACAATTTAAATTATGTTTTTTTGGATTATCAGTTTAAATGTTTTTCAAATATTTAATAATGTGTAATAGATTTAAATAAATAAAATGCAAATAACAAAAAAATTTAATATTTTATAGATTATTTAAATATTTAAATAACTAAATATTTATCATAACTACATTTTAAATAGTTAAATAACGAATTTATGTAATAAATTAAAAAAAAACTATGAAGTAAAAAAATAATTATAAAATAATTTTGAAATTAATAATAATTTAACATATTACAAAATTAGTAACAAAATTATGTAATAATCGTATATATAGTGATTTTATGGATAATTAAACTCAATAAATGATTAATATTTTAAAATTTAAATATTTTACATATTATTTAAGTATTTAAATAACTAAATATTTTAAATGTTTAACATAACTAGATTTTAACAGAAAACTTTCAATAATTATTGGAGATTAAACTACTATTATTGAAATTTTTAAATTTAATATATTGTACTTATTGTATTTATTGTGTTTTTGTTATAACTTATTGATTAATATTTGTTAGAGATTAAACTATTATTTGATATTATACTATTTATTGAATAAGTTAATATATTTTTAGTGCGTATCGTATTTTTTCATTATCATTATATTTTTAATAATTGTTTATTTTCGCAATAAATTTTCAATAATTATTGGAGATGAAACTATTGTTATTTATTAGAGATGAGACTATTAATTTAGCTAAAATTATATGTTCATTAGTTGGTTCGGTTCAGTCGTAGGCTATTTGGCCAACCAAATTGACTTGGTCTGGTTGGGGAGTTGGTAAGCTAAAACCGACTGACCTTTTGTGAAAATCGACCCACTCAAGTTGTATCGGTTTGGGTTGATTTTTTGGTTTGGTTAGTTGGTTCAAAAGATTTAAACTTAAAAATTTAATTTAATTTTAAAAATTATAGTGCAATTACTAAAAATTAGATTTATGATATAAAACATTTTAGACTAAGAAATATGGGAAGTTTTCAACTTTTTCATATTAAAAATTATATTTAAAATATAAATATTATATATCCATGGTTAGGATCATTCGATTTTGATCGGTTTACAAATGGCCAATGTGAAACTGATCCAACTTGGTTGAATCAGAAAATTTTTAATCAAAGCTGACCTAAAATACTAGAAAACCGACCAACTCAGGTCGAATTGATCGGGTTGGTCGGTTTCAACAGTTTGATGAATAAACCTAACTGAAATTAATTATTGTTAACTTTGTATTATAAAAAAATTATTAAAAGTAGTATATAAAATATGAATAATTATTACTTTTTTAAAAATTGAAAATATAAAACAATTGTATACTCTTATGTGTTTCTATTAGAGTCATTTACTATAACACACCTTATAGTTTTACATATTTACTTAAACCTACCTTATAGTTTTCATTTTACTAAAACATTTCATATATTTTACAACTTATTTACTTAATCAACCACTCATTAAGGAGTGTTTGTTTTGCCATTAGTCCCATGATTTTTTTTATTCAAAAATACCCTTAACATTTTTTTTGCACAAAAAACAAAATTGACCAAATATAGCCAATAGAGTGGTTGCCCATGTCTTATTAAGGGCAAAAATGATATTTTTATTTTTTTTCTTTTGATTAAATTTTTTTAAATGAACATTAGGGTCAATATTGCCATTTTCCATTGTCATCTAATGGAAGATTGATTAAATCCATTGCAAATTATAAGTGATGTTTTAGTAAAATACTAAATATAGGATAAATTTTAATAAATCCGTGAAACTATAAAAAATATTTTAATAAATTATCCTTCCTATTATTTAGCTTTCGTTTAATAAATCCCGTATGATCCGCTATTAATTATGTAAGGAAAGCTTTTATTGATGTATCTATGATTTTTACATCTCTGTCAAAGCATATCCATTGGGTTGAATGTGCATGCCACACGAATAGTAAGTGATTCGGAGGCATTGTGAAACCCTCTCTTACAACTTGCAACCAAATTATTTAGGTTGAAAATATAATAATAAATAATACAAATGGTCCCCCTCATTTCAACTAGAGGAATGGATTATTTTTTTTCTCCTAAATTCCCATAAGAAAGGGACGTTTCAGAATACCCATCTGTTCACTAATTTTTAATTTTACGGAACACAAATTTTTTGTTACTAAATTGTCAATAGAAAAAATATTTAATTTTTATTCATTATCAATTAATAAAAATAATCAATTTTTTGGATGTTACCGAGCACACACACCCTAATAGTTAACTTGAAAGGCAAAAATATTAAATGGATGTTGCTATTCGATGACAGAATATTAGAGAAAAAGACAACATCCAAGACTCCAAGTAAACTCAAAAGTCAATACCCTACTACCCAGTCCACTGACGTGCTGAGTACTCAAGGTAAGAGTCTCCAGTCAACGTTTTCACACTCCTCCATCCGATACGGCACATCTGATAATAAAATTGGGGTGAACGTGTGGTGTAAGATGATGATGGAAGGGTGATGGAATGTGTTTTGTTGACTTGACCGAGGATTTTCCAATGATTCTTACTTGTCTTCTTGCCTCTAAAACAAGTTCAGATGGGCTCCCACTGAGAGTGCTTCACATCGCATCCATGCATTGGGGCACGTCGTTATGACAATTGACAACTTGTACGAAAGATTTTTCCAAATTGATTCTTACTTACATTGTAGGGAGCCCGTGCACTCCCCAAAACCATCATGCACGTTAAAGAAAATTCACAGAAGAACTCACACGGTGATTCTGTTTTCGTTCTTGAATCCATCAACGTTGTCTATACTAGAGATGTTGTTGTAAAGTATTCCAGAAAGTTATAATTGCCCATTTGATAAGTCTCTTTGAGAGAGATAGTTTTGCAGTTCTGATGGTTGAAAGATGCATTGAGCTTTTGATATAAGATTTGGACAGCTCGAAGATTGTTTGGTAGATATGTATCTTTCTGTGTTATTTTAGGTATTTTTTTGCACGGGATTAAAATGTGAAAAACTCAAGAAATTTCATTTGGAGTTTTCCGAAATTAGCCTAAAATGGGTTTTTCGTATTTTTTCGATATCCCGCCTTTTGACGACTAAATCTTTCGTGTGCCAAACGAGAATAGACCGATTTTCAGTTTTCCCAACTTGTAAACAGCCAAAAAACCGTATGAAAAGACACGCCAAATGGGAATATCTTTTACCTGCATTGCTGCAGGTTTGCAAGAACTATTTCTACTTTGTTTTGGTTCCACATTTCGAGTTTACATGGGCAGTGCCCCACGAAACATCCTAACCTTATATTGGAAATATCTCTGAATGACAAATATGAGAGATATTGCAATGTATAATATTGCAAAGTGCATGTAGAGCGCCTCAACTCTGTAAAAAGCTTATGTGATCTCCCACATTTCTACATCGGTTTTTAGATATCAAAGAGGGAAGAAAAAGCCGATGTACTTGTTATTCTTTCAAGCTAGGATTTATATATATATATATATAAGGAAAATAGTTGATAATATATGTGATGAAACATTTGAATGGAATCGGATTCGTTCGATGATATAGTCGAATTGAATTGGAATTGAGATATATGAATATTCATCGGATTCGAATTAAATTTGAATCACCTATAATTATTCTTATCCAATTAAATTTAAATCACTTATAATTTTTATCGAATCAAATTCGAATATACCCTTTACTGAATTCAATAATTCCATCCATTTGTAACCATGGAGAGAGACACTGGTCTTATAACAATAAATAACAGCTTAATTATTTGCGCACAGCACATCTTTGGAAGAAAAGATAGCTAGGATTCAAAGAGCTAAATAGAAACACCAAGAGTTGAACAGAAAACATGTGAACAACCACCAAAGACAAACCAAAGAAAGAAAAAAATGGAAAAACAACGTACAACAAATCCTACAACTACTAAACATCTCTTAATAAAACCCCTTGCACCACAGACAATCAAAATAACAACTGATCGATCGAGACCTTTCACATGATGCTGCACATCCCGATGTTAGAGGCGATATCCAGTATCGTACTGAACTTATCGATGATTTCCAATACATTTTGTGCACGAGAGGCCACTTTACTCTGAAAGTAGGAGGTGATCAGGATGGAAAAAAACAAGGTGAGAAAGCCTGGGAAAATTAAGAAAAAAATAAAATTCAAAGGGAGGAGAAAATGGAATTATATCATCTCTTCTTACCAAGCTTCTAGTTTGCAATCCTTCAACTGCACGAGAGGCCACTTTACTCTGAAAGGAGGAGGTGATCAGGATGGAAAAAAAAAAAAAAAAAAAACAAGGTGAGAAAGCCTGCGAAAATTAAGAAAAAAATAAAATTCAAAGGGAGGAGAAAATGGAATTATATCATCTCTTCTTACCAAGCTTCTAGTTTGCTGTGGCCGTGGTGGCTGGTTATCCTTAGTCATGTAAAAGAAGACGATGATTTCATTGAAATCTAGAACACCGTCACGATTCCTGTCGAGCTTGTAGAAAATATTAGAGTCGTAGTGATACTCTTCTGTTTTGCTGAGGAAATCTCGGAACTCGATGATGCTGATACTCCCATCTCCATCCGTATCCATGTTTCTGAAAAATTCCCCAGCTAGGTTCTTAATTTGAGGACAACAGCCTTGATACCAAGTTAATGCATCCCTTCGCTTCTGTTCCATCTCATCTCCTCCCAGACAGCTCTGTGCCAGATTCAACTGCTAATTATCTATATATCTGGCTTCTAGGCACTAATTAAATTAAACCAAAACGATATCAAATGTTTAACGTACGTACCTGTTGAAGCGTTGAGGTTGCCACTGGCATCATACTTGATTCTTCTCTGCGGAAACGTATAACCCAGTTTATACTCCTTGTGCTCAGTGGGGTCTTCTCTCTCCCTCTCTATCTATCTATCCATCTATATATAATGTGTGAGAAAAAATGTTAAAACCTTCAAAATATTCATGTAATTATGTTTTATCAAAATATTTATTTTCTAAATTTTTTCTTCGCGTGAATTGTTAGGCTAAACCTTTTCAATCTTTTTACTGAAATTGATTTATTTTTTAAATTTATCCTTTTTATCAATCACTCAAATCAGGCTAATTAATCTGCAACTTTAAATTATCGTTGTTGTCTAATGAAGTTCGTATTTTTTTTATGTAAAAATTAACCAGTTTCAATAATAATTATATGGATAATTTAAACATTTCATGCTTACTTTTAGAAAATTCTAACAGAGGAGTGTACTTGCATTTACACATAATCCAAGGCAAATAAAACAATGCCGGTTGCCTTACGTATTGGGCAATTCATCACCTCATGCCAACAAGTGGGTATTGGTGTGTACATATTGATATGCATGTACAAGAATATTTTGATCTTTGAGTGGTTTGGGTCTTTGTCCATTAATCTGTTTCCAAGCATAATAATCATGCTTTAGGTGTTTAACCATTTGTCAGCCTCGTCCAACGTTCATCATTTTTAAATGGGTAAAATACTTCAATATATCCCTGATCGAGTTGAGATCAAATCAACCCCCATAAAATTGCCCCTTACAATAATAATATCAAGAGATGTTCTCAATACACGGTAAAGATGTATTAGAAGCCGATTTAAATTTTCCCGAGCTTTCATACATTGATTTAAACATATCTAGAGTTTATAAATAATTAAACACCCCGATTTGAACTCCCCCCACAATAATGATATAATTTCATGCAACTAGTGAAGGACACACTATGATTAGAGGATAATTAATGACTCGCAAGTTGAATTCCACAAGTAGAGGATAATAGTTGTCTCTAAGGTCTTGATTCTCCTGCATGTACATGATTCAAGCTGGTCTTGGATCTAGGGATAGCAACCTTGAGGAGGAGGAGGGAGGTAGAGCATTTCCATTAAGAGAGAGTCTGCCACCCTGAAGGAACCACGATCCAGAGCAAATCTCGAAATACAATTTTCAATCATGGTGTTGGTGAAATAATTGACAATTGGTATGATATCACTGCCAGCACCTAGAAGGGAGGAACTAAGGTTTTGTGAGGAAAGGTGATGAAAAGGGGGAGAGAGAGTAGTTTCATTTTCAAAGAGGTGGGACCAAAAAAAGTGCTCCTTCCTAAACATTGGTTGATCATATCTTTAAAATGAAGTATAATTCCCATGTCTCAATCAAAACTGAATTTTATACCAACATTGGAACTCAAAATTGGGACTAATTCCAAATTCATATCAAATCTGGGAACCAAATGCACCATATAATTAGGATTTTAGACCAAATCAAGGATTCTGATGAGACAACTTTAGCTAACTTTTTCTCTACAACAACTATAGTAGGGTTAATGGGAGAAGATTGAAAGGTCGATAATAGATGCTCAGTAAAATGTGAAATGTAATTCATGGAAGCCAATATAAATGGAAAGCCTTGTATCAATGCCCTTAACTGCAATCTTGTATCTCCACTTTCATCCTTTGTTTCACTCATGGTGAAGACCCCCTCCAAAAATATAAAATTAACGATATAAGATCTCATTTTCTCTCTACTCAGATATACCTACTAAAAGAGGAAATATACTGGAAGTGTACCAGAGCTTTTATTCTTTTAGAGTCTTTGGCAACAAGAAAATGCAAGAAATTTCAGTGAAAAGAAAGGCAAAGGCAAATAAACTAATCATCATAACAAACAGTTGGGCTTCAGATTGAATGAGGTAGAAAGGGACTCAAAAGTAGTTATCTCTTGGGCAAACACAAACAGGCATATCCCATGGACTCTTAGGAATGTGACAAGGGAAGTGGAACATTAATGCGTATAGTTGATTAACTGAATCTAGCTGAAATTGAAGCAAAGACTGCTCTCACAAAACTTTTCACAAGCTCTGTGAATCAAGATTGCTTATTTGCTTCAAAGCTACTAACCCCACAAAAATGATAGAATAAATTTTAAAAAAAAAAATCGCAAATAAGCTAACCTTTAGAGACCCTTTTAATGTTCTAAATATATTAAAGAAACGAGAGACCACGAACACATTATAGTATGCCACAGAACATGTACAGAAATTCATTAGATATTAAACCCAAATTACCCTAAAATCATGCATATCAATGGAGACCACACTATCAAGAACAACTGTCAGCCCCAGAATAGGTGCTAACCCCAAAAGACCTTTTTTTAACAATTCCGCCCAGAATAGCCTTTCCCTCAATATCCCCTGTTTAGCTAAAGTATCGGCTAGACCATTGGATGATTTTATAGTCCATTTGGAAGAAGCCCCAATCTCCTTTGTTATGTTGGTGATCTCCCTTTATAGCAGTCTATAAATCCAAGCTCCCAAGCGGTCCGACTTCAACCAAATAATGAGCATTTTAGAGTCTCCTTCTACCTCTATTTACATTTTTACATTCAAACCACTCTAAGAACAGATAGTCCATCCAAATTTATTACATTTCTACCTCTGCTAGCATAAATTTATTACGGACAGATTAAGTCCAATCCAGTCTAATAAATCTTTTGGACCAGATTGGTCCAATCCATTATGTCTTATTGGTCTGTTCAATCCATCCAAATTGATTTTGGGCTGGATGGGGTCCAATCCAAAACCGGTCCATTGACACCCTTACCTAGGAGGGCTGAGTTAAAGATTTAAGGGTCCAATTGCTTCATGATTGAAATTGGATTCGAAATCAGAATCAAAATATTTCGGAATTGGAATCAGAATGGTTTATTCCCATAGTTTGTTTTGTAAATGCAACTTAAAAGATCAATTTTCCATTCAAAATATTTTTCTACCGAAAAATTTAATACATTTTGAATCACAAATTAATATACATCTTAGTTTAAAATTGATAAATTAATCATTAATACAAATTCCTTCATCAGGTTGCCTTGCTTTATGTTCCTTGATTGAATCCTCTCTCAAATGGATGCAAAGATGAACCATGGCTCCGTAAGAGCTGAGAAGTATTCATACAAGGCCTTTCTATCTGGATTCATATTCTGGTCGTTTTTCCATGCTTCAGGTATCATCATCATTACAGCTTCAGGGAGACTTCTCCCATCACGAACAAGAAGCTCAAGGACACCATCAAAAACTCCTGCAAGAACCACAGAGAAAATTAAGCTTACCTATCTATGTACAAGAACTGCCCTTCTTCCTCCATATATTCTTGGGAAATACACACATGTAGCATATGAGCATGCATATTAGTAACCTGCCTGTCAGTTAGTAATTTGGCCTCACCTTTACAGCATTGTGATGAAATGAGTTGCTAATAAGGGAGTTGTCCTGCTACTGTGCAACTCCAAAGTAAAAGGGGAATATTGAGAGAAAATCAATGAAGATCAGCTTTACGTGTTAGCTCTTTTCAGCTATCATTATGCATGGATTTGATGTTCTCAGAAATGGAAAAGGAAATTCCAAGCAAAACTTACTAATGCAAATGATCCACTTTGATGACAAATTTCACTGTTCAAAGATGTCAATACATCTCCTGACATGACAATTCCATTACAATTTTCAATCTGCCCAAACAAGTTTTGTGCATGATCCACAAATTCTGAACTCTCCTGAACCTTCCGAAGCAAAACCATTACAGTAAACAATGAATCGTGGCAGTTTACATCAAACTTTAGGGGAAGTTTGGAATAGCTGAAGTAGCTGAATTGAGTGACTTGTTGCTCTGTCTTATAATGAACAAGTTATTAAGGAGGTTGTGAGCTCCTTAATGGCTGAAGCTGAAGTTGGATTAACTGCTATACCCTCGAGTATTTTGTCATTTAAATATTTTCTTTACTAGACTGAATAGAAGGTGAAAGAGACAGTCATGGGATCTACCTTGGCATTTGGTGGAGCCCATGAATGGACTATTGGACCCCAAGAAATGTTACCATTCTAAACTGAATGAATGAAAGAAAGAAGCTAAGGAAAATGGTTTAAGAGGGTGATTGAAGGGAGAATGACAGGTTCATTGCATTCATGGATTTGGGTTTTGGGATAGAGAGGATGACAGCTTGAATGGGCCACACAATGCCCACAAAACAAAGCACCAAACTTTCCTTTCCCACAAATCATTTTTACTGTCTTCAAACTGATTCATTTAAACTAATAAAAAATCAACTTAAAAAGTATAAGAAATTTTGATCTTTGACTCAACCCTGTAAAGATATCCCTATTTCAACTACTTCATGAGAAACGGTTTATTGTAGATTTTTTTTTTTAATGTCCACTGTCTTTTTGCAGATTAGAAGGGCAAGTTTGATGAATTGGTTGAGGACAAGGGTGTCAAGATTCTAATTGATCCAAAGGCACTCATGCATGTAATAGGGACTAAAATGGATTTTGTAGATGACAACCTAGCTAGACCAGATCTGGGCTGAATCCTCACATATTTGACCAACTTGCTATCCGGAATCTTCAGAGTTCAGACTTTATAGACTTTATAAGGTACCTTCAAATAAAAGCTAGAAACTTGTTACCTAGAAAATCTTCACTGGCAAACATTTAGCACTGGCACTTTGTCTGAATCTACCATTATGAACAACAAGGTCATTCAATAGACAAAACAAAATGAGCTTTATATTATACGCTAAACAAGTAATTCGATCTCCTCAAAATTTCAAATTTGTGCATACATATCCCAATAAGTAATTGAAATTTTCTTCACTTAAATGGCATTCATGATTTGAAACTGAGCATAAATATAAGAGTACAAGTCAAGCAAATGACAAGACGGCATCGATATCTTCATAAGTAGTTCGTAGATTGCTTTTGTTATTATTTATCAAAGAGATAAAATAATTAAAACATGTCATAAAATGCTAATTAATCAAATAAGAAATTCTAATATTCTATTCCTATGGTAGGCAGATGCCGAAGAAGAAGAAGAAGAAGAA